TTTCTCGAAAAAACACTCCTGGAAAGCTTTGGGTGACAAAGGAACGGAATATGGAGGAACTTTCAAAAAATTTTGCAAGGAAAAAAGCATTGAAGTTTACTCGACCATGAGTGAAACAAAAAGCTGCATTTGCAGAGAGAGCATTCAATCATTAAAACACATTATTTACCGCTACATAGAAGATCATGTGAAAAGTTCATTAACAAGTTGCCGCAATTTGTGTCTGCAATGAATTGTCGCATCAATAGATCTATTGGAAATGACCTAGAGATATCAAGAATACTGATTTCCTCTCATTTTTGTACAATAAACCTCTAACAAGGTATAAGAAACTAAAATTCAAAGTTGGAGACAGGAGTGAGAATTTCAAAAAAGATATTCCCGTTCCGAAAAGGATATAAACCACAATTTACAGATGAAATTTTTGAAATTTTGGCAGTCTCTACAAAAAAACCTCCAACATACATCAACAAAGATCTCTACAAAGAGAGAAATTCTTGGAAAGTTTTTTTAAAAAGAGCTTCGAAATTGTTCTGATAAAAGGTAAATCATTTTTAAACTAAATTTTTACCGATCAGTTGTCATGGATTCTTTCACTATTGAGTTGGTTTCCAACGTTTTTTTTAATTGTTATCCGAATAATAGTCTTAGTTCTTTTACAAATTTTTCTACCTGAACAAATACATTTGAAAGGAGAATGGGAGGTTGCTATTTCAGAAATATCATACCCTTCTTTGTACCAAAATGTTACAGAGGGAAAGCTTACATTCTTAGATGGAAGAGAAAGTTCTGAGGAGAAAAGAAAGATTGTACCGATGAACATTGAACCAGGATTGTATCCAAGTATTGTTGATATAGTTGTAGCCATGAACAACAAAATTCGAGAACGTCTAGGAGCTCAAGTTTTTGAATATAACGGAATCTATGTATCAGTAGATAAAATTACACAAAAAGTTGCTGTTCATTTACCTGAGAGTCAATCAGTGTTTATAATTCAGAGTGCTGATTTGAGCCACATTTTTGGTTGTGATTTAGAACAAAATCAAACAGGGGTTATAATGAAAGGAAAAGGTCCACATTATCCTCAGTATTCTAACGACATTATAAAAACACATTCCCTAATGATATACAGTGATATTATAGAATATAACATAGTTGGTGATACAAAAACTCCCTTATTGCCTTGTATTCCATTTATCTCCAAAGTGAAGAGTGGAGATATAATTTCTACAGGACAGTACATGAATTATCAATCCTTTACAAATTTACAGTTTAAAAAGCTGTTGAAAAATTCTTTCCATAGTATCAAGATAGAACTAAGAGATAGTACAGGCGAAAAAATTTCTTTTGTGTCCGTAGGAATCACTCGAGTTGTTCTCTTGTTCCGCAAGATTTCGAATAATCATTTTTGATTTAAACTTCATACGAAATGGTTGCTCAAAATTCAGCTGATTTCCCTATTTTTCGAGGACATGCAAGACAGCTTGGAAGAGGTTGTGGAGCTCTTGCACAAACTCTTGTGAGAACTGCAATCCCCTTTATTAAAAAAAATGTAGTCCCAGCTGCGGAAAGAATTGGGGCAGATTTGTGTGAAATCGCTGCTCCAGAGATTGGGGAAGTTGTTAGTGGACGTAAAAACTCGAAACATTTGCAAAAGATGTGGGAACAAAAACAGTTCGGAAACTGGAAAAAATTGGAAAAAAGAAATCTAAGCGTAGAACAGCTAGAACCATATCCATTTCTCTAAAAAGTAGATCGAAAAACAGTCGCTCTCGCAAAGACATTTTTGACAATATAAAATGAGTGTAAACCAAAGCCATTTTCGGTACGGGGCTTTTACAAATTCTTCATTGGAGATTTTTGATAAAGTCCCAGTTTTGGAAACAATTATGTCATCTTACACACAAAAATTATTCCCCAGTACTTCTCTGGATGAAAGCAGTATTGAGTTTGAATTTGAAACGGATCGTAACCTCTACTTGGATATGCGTGATACCCATCTTAGCTTAAAGCTTCAACTATTCAAAGGAAGATTGTTTGATGCTTTCAAAAAAGAAAAAGCAGAACATAGAGCAAAATCGGAAGAAGATTCAGATGAGGAACCACAAACTTACTTAACATATGTAAACAATCTACTACATTCTGTATTCTCTAAATGTGAAGTTTATTTTAACAATACAATGGTTTACAATGCCAATGGGTTAAATCCTCATAAGGCACAGATATCGAACGAATTCAACTCGTCAGCAGTGAGGAATAAAGGAATTCTTGCTTGTCATGGATATAGTTTTGAAGAAAATCCTGATGCATTTGATATGTATCCATTCACTGATAGAGCAAATTCCTTGGGAACAGGGATAATTATTTCACTCTATGGGAGGCTCGCCATTGATTTGTTTACTTGCGAAAAACTGTTGCTACCAAATACCAAAGTTCGAATTAAACTTATTCGAGCTAGACCTAATTTTTACATGTTATCTGATAATCCAAATGTCAGTCTGAAAATAGTTGATTGTTCACTGTTTACAAGAAGAATTTTAGTGGCTGAACCTAATCATCAATACTTGCAAAGGAATCTGGAAAAGGAACCTGCTCATTACAATTACATTGAAACTATAGCAAGAACCTTTATCATTCCATCTCGTCAAAACCAATTCATACAAGAAAATATATTCAATAACGCTCTAATAAGAAGAGTAGCTGTTGCAATGAATACAAATTCAGCTGTTGCGGGATCTTTTCATGAAAATCCTTTCAATTATCAGCAATTTCATTTAGGAGAACTCAGAATTATTCGGGGTGGAAGAGCAATTGTTTCATTAGATACAACTTCTCCTTGTCGACCTTATGTTACAACAATGAAAGCAATGCAGTTTAACGAAGATTTCCCAGCTCTTCCTATAGAAGATTTTCAAAATCACTATATTCTAGTTTTCGACTTGACTTCACTACAGGATGCCGCTGAACACTTGAATTATCCACAACTTAGTGGACAAAGCTTGAGATTATAAATGTTTTTCCAATTTCCCTTGAAGCAAGTAACGGAAGTGATAGTCTTGGGAGAAAGACTATCAAAGATTCAAATTGACAAATCGGAACAGTCGCTAAAAATGTTTAGTTTTTTTGAGTTTTCAGGTTCCTATAAAAGTATTGTAAATTTTTTGGGACTTTTCTTTGTTATTATCTCTGTACTATCTATATTGTTTTTCTTCAGACCTAAATCTCCAGAAAAAGCAGCTAGTGAATGCTGTTTAATTGAAAACCCAAGACATTTCTTCAACCTAGACTGTAAATCAGTGTTCAACAAATTTTGTCCAGTTCACAAGTTTTGTGTATGGGACTTTGTTGATTCAGTACCTAAATGCGAGTAAGTCAATAACTTTAGAATTTTCCATCCTAAATTACAATATCATACTTTCTATTTCTTTGTTTTAGATATAAATCAGCTAACATTTGCGAAAATGGATAATTTTTCACTTCTCTAAATTATTGAAAGAATTCCTGAACTCAGGTTCAAGTACATGGGATCTTACCCCTCTGATAAAGTACCTCAACTAACAAAATACTCTTTTGCAATTGTTAACTCAGCTCCAAGCAATGATAGAGGGGAGCACTGGATCATGATGGCTGGATTGGATAAAACTTACTATTTTGCTGATTCTTTGGGTCGGAAAAGAACAACTTATTCCTTTCTAACAAAAAAGTATCGGCGAATGGTTCCTCGAAAGCTACAAAAAACTGATAATTTGTGTGGATTTTACGCAATTTATTCAGCATTTCTTCTTTTTAAATTCTACCAGACAAACTTGAATATTATTCATGATGTGCATGTTTGAATTTTATAAGTAATTTTATGTAAATTTGTAGTTTTTTTAGTTGTAAGTGTAAATTATGGCAGTAAGTTTACTATACGATGCAGTGATTTATATATTTTCATTGTAATTTAATTTTTTTCTCTCAAAAAATTCGATTTTTTTTTCGATGTCTCTGTAGGTTCAGAATAGATTCAGATAGGTAGAAAGTAAAAGTATCTAATAATTCTTTATTAGATCAAATTAAATAAAATCTTATCGTGTTTTGAATTTTTTCGAAAAAATTTTAAATTTTTTTGATAAAAAATTCCAAGTTTTTGCACAAAAACTCTTACCATTGACTTACCATCCACCAAAAAAACTTAATATATAATCTTAATTCTACAATCTACACGTAATTAACAATTAGTTGTTCCCAATTAGGTAACGCGCGCCGAGATTTTTGCGAAAAAATTAGACATTTTCACACAAAAACCAAAAAATTTTCGTTTTTTTTACCATTATCTTACCATCACACTGAAACCTTACCATCGGTATTCTCTATCTTAATACATTGTACACTCTATACCCAATCTTAATACATAACGTATCTTAATACATGGGGTCCGCGATGCACCCCCCCCCCCCCCCCCCACTTCAGCCTCAACATCTACTACTTCAGAGTTTCGGTTCCCCATGTAGACCCCAAATCTGTGTCTTTTCATTTTCCTGCGAGGCAACGGCGTTGATGACATAGAAGTAGGCAACTCGCTATTGTGGTACCGTTGGCACCGTGGTATGGTGGTACCGATGCATGGTGGGATCGTTGGTAGTGATGTTCGTTATTCCACATTTTGACTGAATGCTTTAGCGGACTTCTAAAAAAACTGTGTTTGTTTCTTGCTTCTTCCGGATTTTCTGTCTGAAGCATTCAATTTTTGCGAGACCTTGTCGTCATCTTTGCTGGTCTTTGCTGCCTCTTCTGACAACGATGTTGTTTTCCACTAATGTTTTCCCCTAATGATGTTGTTCACTTCTCTGATACTAAGAGAATAAAAGAAATTGGGCACTCCTATGCCGTTGTATTCTAAATAGTAACTTTTCTACTTGACTCGTCTTGTTTTTTTGAAACCTAAATATTGATCATTCAAATTCTATGAAACACTGATTGATGACTGCTGATTGATAAAACCATTCGAAATTTGACGTTTTAATAAGTTTTTTGCTACCCGAGTTTCTGGCATTTGAAGCAGAAAGATAATTTGAACAATGGTCATTTTCAACTAAATTGAAATTTTTTGAACGCTCTAAAGCAAAACTTGGTTCTGCAAAGTCCAACTGAAGTGCTTCATTTAACCAGTGAGCGCTGACAGGGGTTCTGAAGAGTTGAAAGAACTGATGATTTTAATGCTCTTACTACTTTTTGACTGACGAACATTTATGATTTCTCTGTGCATCCCCGGGACAGCGTACACCTTCGTGTTTTGACGCGGTTGTGTCCTGTAGAGTCGTCAAGTAACGGCTTAGCAAAACAACGAAACACAACGCAGCCCCAATTCACATATAACATATCAGCCACAAAACACTGACAAAACATACGAACAAAAAAAAAGAACAACCAGAACAATAATGGTTTCAGCCCATGGTGAGCTGCCAAGTTGGATCTCTCAACCGTTCTCTCTCTTAGCCATCCAACCTCCAACAACAACACTCTTAGTCTGTCACTTCCTTTTTCGACCTTATTTCTTCTCCCTTGCCAGTATTTGGCCCCATTTTTTCTACTTTCTCATCTCAATCACCTCACATTCATTCCGATGATTCTATACAAACAGTTTTCGATACTCATAATTCTATAAATAATCCCACCAATAACACCCTTGACAAATTTTCAGACTCTGAACCAAGCCCCACTAACTAAGTACCTAGGCACTCAGCTAGTGGGGCTTGGCATACTGTCCATCACTATGCTAACCAAGGCCTTCTGTCCAGCATTATGCTGTCGCTGATCACGGCGGCGTCGTCCAAGAAGCAAGTATGTAGCTGCTAAGACTCAACACTCCTTACCTTACTTTCGCGCGAAATTGTTTCCGCAATTGAACCATCAGTTGGCTGTCCTGTCATCAGTTGTCTCAAAAAACCGGCATCTAGAAAGTTGTTTAGCCCTTTCATCAAAGGTTTCTTATCAGTAGAAACGATGAGTGTCATTGATGATATGGCTAATCTTACTTGTCAAGCAACCATGCTGACTGCACTGTAGCGAATCTCTTTAATCTGTTTGTCCTGAGTTTATTAACATTTAGGCAGAATTTGTCCAATTTTTGTTTGGTGTCAGCCCTTTTCGTCCCTTATTCACTCTCAGTGTTTAAACCGGCTCCCTAGCTTTTTTGATTCCTCTAAAGTTTATTGGGCTTTTCATCTGACTAATTGACAATAGATTGAACGGTTTCATAAAATTCTACAGAAAGCACAAGTTAATGATTTTAAAATTGAGTGTTGGATTCAAAATGAGGCTATGATGAAATTGACAATCGGAGACAGGCGTTTTGCCAAAACTACAGTTGAAAACGACATCCGTATTTCTCATTTTTCGAAATCCAGTACGTCGCAACCTTGTGTCTGTCTAGTTGCGGGAGGTGACTTTGTGAAGAAAAAATTCCAGGGCGCATGTAAATTTGCCCTCTCGCGCTGTTTAGGTTTGCGCGTAAGTTTAGGTCTGTAATTTCGATATGTACAAGGAGATGTAAGTTAGCATAAGTTGATCTAAATAATTGATATAATAAACCGCATGTTGTTGTTACTTTTTTGGACGCTTGTACACTTGCATAAAAATTGTTGAATGAATAATACCTTGAGTTGGCGATGAGTTTCATCAAATTTGATTGACCGGCATCTTTGTCTAATTTTCTTTCGCCCTCTTGTCGCGTTCTGGTAGTTTCTTGATCTTAGTATATCAGAGTAGACTTTATCAGTACCTTTATCGTTCTTTGTAGAGATTTGGAAATTTCTTTGGAAAAACTCTTAAACTGTGAAATCTGGTTCTGAAACTATACGTACCAGTGATTTTGGCGTATACAATTTTTAAAAGGCAATGTTTGCTCACTGATTTAGCTGAGGATGTTTGTAGAAAAACATGATTTCTGGTACTCTATTAGTCGCATTTGATGTTTGTTTTGGTTGACTTGTGACCTTTTTTCTGGTTCTGATTTCCAAAATTAAGAACTTTACGGCACCCGTTTGAAGAAAAAACCATTTCCAAAGCTTCAATTAGCTTAAATCGCTTGTGATTGTAAGCTACGTATAATGTTTTGATAAGGTTTTGGCTCACGACAATCATCTTAGCATTTGCATCATTTGCTAGTAAAAAATCAGCATTTCGTTTGTTGACGAAGGGAGACTGCTGTGCTTCCGATGTCAATGTTTGCTCTAAATAAAGATACTCTGATAGTTTCAGGTATGAATTTTTTCACTGTTTGTGTTGAAAAATGTACAGCCTTCTTCTTCTTGTTCTTGCAGTTCAACAATTGCCAACAATTGCCTCTTACAATTTTTAGGAAAATGGTCCCTTTGAAAACCTTCGCGGCAAATGAATCCTCCTGCTTGGCCTTTAGCTGTAAGTTCCGATGTGAACTCGTTTCCACAGAAGTGCGACGATTTGGATTGACTACTGGGCTAATTTTTCTTAGGGTTCTACTCAAAACTACCTCTTTCCAATGCTCTGTTCATCCTATTCGGAACATTAGTTTTGGAATGAATTGACAAAAGATAATCTGGTTCTAACCGGGACTCATTCTTATAATTTGCTGAACTAATTCCTGTTGATAAATTTTGTTTCTGGTGAGTGTTGGCTCTGACATAGCCCTTTTTTGAAAGAGGACAATGCTTATCGCGTCGTCTTAATTTTCTAAGGCGGCTGAATTCATAGTTCACACTGGATATCGGAAAAACGCATTTTCCGACGCATATAATCTCGGATAACTTCTTTTTCGAGAATTCTGGTCCACCCACGTTTTTGATGCATGTCCTACCAAGCGAAACAAAAAGAAAAGAGATCTTTTCTGTTGTCGCCGAGTGATGAGTTATGTCAATGCATCCTTCCGATAACATAGTTCTTCTCGCTTTCAGAGCATTGTTCGCAAGCAATGTAAAAAAAAAAATGACTGAATTAGTACTTTTATATTGCCGAAAATATCTCATGTTTTCAGTTTCGTTAGACAACGAATAAACTTTATTTGATTCGAGCGTCTGCTTTAGAGAAATAAACGTTTAGAGTAGTTTAAGTCCTCTCTTTTGAAGCTCTTCATTGGCTTTAGTAGTTTCGCGGATAGCTGTCTCGCTTCTTGCGGTTCTTTTATCCGCTTCAGTTGTAGGTTCCGAAGGTGGAATAGTTTTCGGTTTGGGCCGTGGGTCGTTCATTACCGGTGATGGGTCGAAAGTGGTAGGTCAAGGAAAAATTGACCCACCCAATTCTCTTAAAGTTATGTGGGTTCGGCTGACGGTATTTCGTAAAGGAAGGAACACCTAGCAGTTCCGTTCTGTCTTTTGATGAAAAAACTGGTAGCTGCGCTATGTGATAATTATCAAAAGCTTGAATAAAACAAAATTATAATATAAAGTTGAATTTTTAACCTCTCAAGGACATAGACACAAATGGCAAATGTCTGTCTTCATGCATTAAGCTTAACAGCAGTCACGTTAACATCTTGCGTTTAAATGTTTAGCCTATTTGCTTGGTGGTTCGTTCACTTCCGCTATACTACAAAATTAACACACACAAAATGACAAAAAAACTATGGTGGATGTTTCATTTAAATAATTTTCAAAGAATTTGACCATTTGGTATTGATTTTTCTCGTGTATCGCCCTTTTGACACTTTTTTCCGGCAGTCATCTCGGCTATTTTGCTCCCCTTAGTTTTCTTTGTTCTCTTATAAGAAGTTGAATGATTTTTGCATGGTTGTGATAATCCAGATTCAAAGCCAGTTCCTCTGATTAACAGCTTGTTTTTTTTTTCTCGTCTCTTGTAATTGGCAACCTAGGAATTGGTTCAACACTTAAATCAGAAATGGATCTACTCGCTCTCTCTCTCTCTCTCTCTCTCTGTCCTCGGATGTTACGAAGTCAAGATGAGCCAGAAAAATCTATGTATTCCAATAATTTTTTTAACTTCCTGCGCGGTCTTTTTTTTGTTTTGTATAAATCCTCATCTTGCAGCCCATTGAAAAATGAGGCTGAGCTATGACGTGTGTCAATATGATATAACCACCCGAGTTGAGATTTTTCACCTAATTTGAAGCAAGATTTGAGCGGTTTGAGCGGTTTTTTTAGACAATTACGCTCAAAATCTTGCTTCAAAATGAGCGGTTTGAGCGGTTTTTGAACGGTTTATCTTCAACGGTTTTTGAACAGTTCAAAATTGTTTCGAATGGTTTCAGTTTCAACCAAAAGTTCTCAGATGGAACCAGAACAATCGACGGCAACAAGGGTGAAAAGGGAACTCAATGCCTGATTTGCCATGAACAGCCAACGGACCTCATTTTTCTCATGGATGAGTCCGGAAGTATTAGTGCAAAGTAGGTTCAGTGACTTGCGCAGGGGGTCTTTATGGAAAGTTTTTTTAAAATTTTTGGCTGTTTTTTTTTTCGTAAAAAAATTAAATTTTTGAAATCCACTAGAATACTAGAACGACCGTATTGTGCGAGCAAATTGATAAAAAAAGGCCAAAAATTTGTGCCCTTTGTATAATTCGCGCGCTTCCCTATTCCCCCCAAGAGGCCTTTAGAAAAAAAACGTTAGGGTTTGTCAACCAAAAATCAAAAACAGCACCGTTGGTAGAATAGTACCAGCATGGACCCTTGCGAAAACTTGGCACCCAGAGTTGCAGAATTGAGAGTGCGGGGTCGTTCGCCTCGGCACTTTGCTGAATAGGTTGTTCTGTGAACAAAAAATTGAATTCTCAATGTTTATTACCACTGTTTAACGGTCAATCTAGTTCATATGGTGGAGTACTTCAAAAGCTTGGTCAAAAACCTGGCCGTATTGTTATTTTTGTAAATGTTTTGCTGATTAAAACAACAGATGTTACAATAATTCTTACTATGGTTTTTTCATACTGTTCAAGCCGCTCCTTTTGAACGAGTTTTTTTAAAATTACATAGGTTTTGCTAACGCCCTTATCAATGTTTGCATTTGATGGTAATAGAGGCCCTACAGCGAGTTATAGG